GAGACATGTACATGTCATTCTCCTAAATCTGAACTCATCATTGTAAGGGGAATGAAACTCTCTTGCTCCTCTTACCATTTTTCCTGAGCTGTTCTATGCCCTTTGGCTCTGCTTTTGTGATGGTTGATGAGTTGATGGTCCGGTTTGGTGTGATGAACCACCTTGATGCCAGCTGACCCTATCTAAGAGGGACTGTCACTTTTTCAGCATTGTTTTCTTCACTTACTCCAGATAACTATATTACAGTGCTAGAAGGAAACAAATGCTTATATTTTGTAAAATGTAGTGAGCCTGTTTCTGAGGAATTTTGGAAAACCTGTGCTGGTTGTGGTGAAATACTCATGCTCTGTGTGTACGTGAGTAGCTTTCAGCTGAACAAAGGATATTTTGCAAGAGCATGTGGTTATCTCAGAATCTCCAGTCAAAGAGTTGTCACTGAGTTACCCCTTAGCCAGTTTACTTTTTAACCTAAATTTAGTGCAGGCAAATATGAATTTTATTTTCTTTAGGGTCTGATTATGTATAAAATTAGGCAGTTATTCTTCAGCTGACTTTCAGGCAGACACTGGGGTTTTGCAAACCTTTGGGTATAATTTTGACATCTATTTGAAAGCCCCCCAAAATTGCATTTCTCTTAGTTAAAAAACAAAACAAAACAACAAAAATTGGCTTGCATATGATGGAAGTGGTTTCTGAGAGTCTGCTGTTAAAAAAAGAGGAAAAAAAGCAAATCCAAGTATTTTTTGCTTTTTTCTGGCATACGATATGTTTCAGATATCATTCCAGTATTCTTTTCCCTCAATTCTGCTTTTATAATTATGACAGATAAATATATTTTTCTGTATTTGTATTTCTCTGAAATTTACTATTTGAACAGGGATTAATAAAAATTGTCTTTTATTCGGTTGTCTCCTTTTTTTTTTTTTTTTTTTTGAGTTTGAATCTGCAACCTTAGATGTGGGGCAAAAAGACTTTTCTACTATATGAAGCACAAGAGCAGATTTTGCAATCTTTGCTTACACTGAGTAGTAATTATTCAAATAAGCCTGTGCTGGATACTCATGTAACGAACTATTCACATGTAACTGAAGTTTCATGATAAAGCAACAGCAACTTCAGCAGAAAAACCGTGGTAAGGAGTTCTCCTTTTTTCTTCCTTCTGCACCGTTTCTGCTCTCTACTGAGAACTGCAGTGTGCTGCCTGTTCGCTTACCCCACTGCAGCCGTTTGCAGGGACAAGCTATGAACTTGATCAGCAAATTGACCTGAATTAATTAAAAAAAAAAAAAGTAAATTCTGGAAGAGTTATGGATTTGAATCAGGATTACAAGTTGCCACCTGTGTACTTAAAACTGGTATTTTGATGTTTGGGTTTTTTAAATGTTATGAGAACTTCCACTGAACTTTCATCCATTTATTCAACTGTTTGAATGTTACATGTGCTTACTGACTGGTTTATGGTGACTAATTGTTTTGATAAACAGACACAAACCAGGAGCTGGGAGTGGGAACCAGGAGATACACGGGTTGTGTTGCAACTGCTGGGGTTGCTTTATCGCTTAGTGCCTCGGTTTTCCCTAGTGAAAACCAGGAAAGGTGGCATGCATGAGAAGTTCTGCTTACAAGTAGAAACTTTGTGCATGTTGCCGAATATTGACGTAGCAGATTTATCTTAACAATTGTTTTAACTTGCTTTGAGGAAGGTGTGTTGTGACTTCATGGCCATACAGGTGGATATTTGTGTAATGCGAAGATGGATCAGTGCAAGTTGATGCGGACTTTTTGATACTTAAAGTTGAGAATGTTTTCCCAACCTAAAAAAGCTAAGAATCTGTAACTCTTTCAATCATAATTCTGAGTACTCGGCATCTCTGTGAATTAGATCATATTTGTTATCATGTAACTAAGGTTGGCAGGGAACAGGGCAAGTCCTTGGTAGGAGATGCTGTGAAAAGTTTAGGTGGGTGGCAGCACGAAACTCCACAGCTGTTGGGAACAAGGTAACAATGTGTCATGCAAACAGCTTCATGTCCTGGGGAATGCTCTGGGAACAACGGAATACTCCGGGGGAGAAAAATGTAGAAAGGTTCTAAAGCTGTACTAAAGAAAGAAAATGATGTATGCGTTTGATAAGAGGTAAGTGTGGCTGTTACAGGTGCTTTTCAATGAAGCATTGCAATTTTGGAAAGGAACTTTTTAGAATTACAGGTGAGGGTTCAGTTGTCCTGAGCCATATTTATGAAACAGGAATGTGGCTAGAGCCATTGGCTTGGAAAAAACCCCAAACAAAACAGGTTTCTGTGACCAAATGCAGATTCAAAGGCTGTTCTGGCCTGGGAAACTGGTTCTTAGCTGCTATGGAGATCTCTGCAGATATAATTCAGTATAGCAACCAGGTACAGACATCGACCAGTTACATTATTGATATTTTAATTTTTTTAACACTGATTTTGTCAAAAGGGGGGTTGTTTTGTTTCTTGTATAATATTAACGTGACCAAAGAGGGCTGGTAGGGGAATTAAATATTTTAGCATTATCAGTATTGAGCTTTGAAATCATAGCTAATTTTGAATCCTTCTTGTGCTCTCTAGGGTAGCACTCTGGGGATCTCAGAGAATTTCTCAGACTGATAATAATTATGTTTTTCTTAAGTGCCAACAGAGAATTTGTACTACAGAGAACAGAAGGATTGTTTTGAGTGGGAGAGGCTGGGATGGGAACCCTTATACTTTTGTGTGCATTAAGCTGGTCTGAAAGTTAATGCTGACTTTTAATTCTTTGAACAAGGTTTGTATTTTCAGCTCATGGTAGTGTCCTTCCTTCTGAAATTACCTTTAAGATTGCTGATATATTTTCTAGAAGGGCAATAAACCAGAATTAGGCAGCTTTAGTAATTAAAGTATGCACTCAAGACAATTACTGATTAAAAAAGATCTGTCTTCTTTCCAGGAATGCAGTGTGACAGATTACCAACAAAAAGTATGTGTGTACATGCATCGGAGGAAGAAGAAAAACAAAAAGATTATTCATAATAATCACCACTTTCAATTGTATTATAGTCTTGTACTTATGCATCCTAACCTAACTCCTATTTTGGAGTCTCATGTAAACCACAGACTAATTTTTTAGCATATGCAGAAATATAACTTGAAAAGAAAAGGATATTTCAAAGCAGTGAATAACTACATCCAGCTGTGTGAAATGGCAGGAGTGTGGGATATGAGCTTAGTTGGCCAAAAAGGAGTGAAATGCTGTATAAGGGCTAGACTGGAAGGCAAAGGGCGTCGTTTCATGTACTGTCGTAACAAATAATGGCATGTTTGGGCAGAAAGCAGAAGGAGAGGCACTAAAATGAATTTGTTTACATTTAGTTTTATTTAAACTTCACTTTTGTCAGGTGGTGTTGTGAGGAGGCCTGTGGCTTTTCAAGCTTCTCTGCGCTAATACTGTGAAATGCACTGTTTTGTCCATGCTGAAGTTATGTTGCCCACAGAGAAAAATGTGTATACATTTCCCTGGTGAATTTTGAAATACTCCAAGTAGTAAATAGGTGCATAAATTAAGCCCTGTGAGAAATTAAAGGTTTTGGCTTTTTTATAGGTTTTAGGAAATTTTCTACTGGTATAGAGATCTGCAGTGATTATCTAGGGCTTCAGCTTGCCTTATCCCCCCATCCCCTCTGCACATACACACACTTGAGAAGGTATTCATAGTCACTGGTGCTTCAGCAGATGCTGCTGTTTGTTCTTCAAGTCATGGCTTTAGCCTGCAGCCATGTTGCTCTAGCCCGAGCTGCCATCAAGGGTCTGCACCTGCAGCGTGCCCTGGGTTCAGAGCGTGGCTGAAGGTGGGGGTCAGGCAGTGCAGGAGGCAGGTCTGGAAGAAAGCAAGCAAGGTGAAAGTTAACAGGGAGGCTAAAGGTCTCTGCAACAGCTTCTCCACAACCTGTCCCACACCTTTCATTCCTGCCTCTGTGCCACCCCATGTGTTAAGTCTGTGCAGGCACCTATCTATGGTGCATGATGAAATGTCTGGTTGGATCCCTTCCCCAGCCCGCTTCCCAGCCCAGTGGGAGGAACACCTGCACCCGCACAAGGCAGAGTGGCATGTTGGGGCGGCAGTGAGCAGATGAAGGAGGTCAGCCGTGTTTAAGCTGGCATCATTGCAAAGAACAGAGAGATTGCCTGACAATGTCTTTAGCAGGATGCTGGAGCCAGATTTGCAAACAAAATAGCTGTGGGTGCGTTTGTTTATGTACTCCTAAGTCTGTCCTACAGGTATCAATCATGGTGTGAAACTTTAAAGCAGCTTGACATTATTGAGCGACCAGAACTGTCAGAAGTAAATTACTTAGATTGCTGATGGTCAGCATGAAGTCTTTCTAAATAGAATATGGAGGGCGTATACTTAACACTTTCTGAAAAATAAGCTTTAGTTTTCTGTTCTCAAATTGACATCTTCTAAATGACTGTGTCTGAAAAATTCCATTAATATAATCAGGGTGAATTTACAAAATTACTTTTACTGATCCGTGTTCAATTTTGAATACAGAACTTTTTTGCGAATGGCGTTTGTATATGTGCAGACCTTAGCAATTAAAGCTTTGATACACATTAGGACTTTGAGGTGAAGAGTAGTTGTACACTACTGTTTGCCTGGAGCATGTTTCAGACTTCTCGCCCATATTTTCTGTGACACAGGCTGCAGTGTCACTTATTTCATCCCAGTCAGGTACAGATTTTGGCTTCCTGGTAATGTGCCAGTGCAGCTGGCAAAGCCTGAACTTTTTTGTCTAACAATTAACTTTTGTAAACTTCCAGATGCTTAGGATGAGCTCCAGCTTTCTGTATATTCAGTAATTTCATTTATAAGTAGAAGCTGTTTTTACTACAGGAATCTCCAGCTCTGTGATCCTCCCAAGATATCGTAATGATTTGTTTCTCTTGTATTCACAGGAACTGATATTCAATGGCTAGAAACAGAGCTGACAAGTGGCTGAAATGAATACGACTACTATCCTACAAGAGACTTTGATTAAAAGATCACAGCAGAAGAAGAGGACTTCTCCCTTAAATTACAAAGAGAGGCTTTTTGTACTTACAAAGTCTATGCTAACATATTACGAAGGTCGAGCAGAGGTAGGAGACACAGATTTACACTATGGAGTGCCTTTGTTCCTTTTTGCTTTTGTATACTATTTCCTAGTATATATCATACTGTCAGGAGCAAATGGGGGCAGTGGCTATGGGTGGCAACGAACATGAGCTGCCATTTCTCTTTTCCTCTTATTTGTAGTGCAGATTGACAGAAGATAACTTACCTGGTAGTATGGAGAAATGCTAGGCTTGTAAGGCCATTATGCCCTGGACAGAGCAAGGACAAGAGCTGAGCAACTTCTTCATCTGGCAAAAAAAGCACCTTTCTGGAAACCTTGCGAGGGGAGATAACAGCTGAAAGAGGGAGCCTTGCGCTGGCAAGATAGCTCTGTTTTGGCTAAAGAGTGCAGAAAAACTGTTTCAGCCCTAAACTCCAAAGGCTATGATGCCCTGGAGTGAAACTTTTGCTTAATTATCTAGAAAATTAGTATTACAGTTAACACTCCTGCTTAATTCTATACATATATGACTATGTCACTCGAATCTCCACCTCAGTCATGCTATACGTAACCTGTGGGAGGGGAAACGGAGAATTGGAGAATAAGGGGTAAAAATTGGGAGAAAGGGACTGAAGATCTAGAAGAGATACTCGATGGGCTGTGCTCCTCTTCTTCCACCCAAGATAGGGATGCCTTCTTGGTAAGAATTGTGCCTTTGCCCCTGGTGAAGAATACCAGGGAAAACTTGGCCAGCGTTATTGTAGTGCATTAGCGCTATTGCAGTAAGTGCATTTATCAACGGCAATTCCACACCTGTTGTATCTGTTGCCTTAATAAATTATCTGTATTTGCAACTTTGCGAAACTGTTTCAGTGAAAGACCCTGAGAGGGCTGCGACAGGCAAATGTCACATCCTTACTCTTAACGTGACAGCCAATGTGAACTGGTTCTGTAATCAGTGCAGTAGTACATAGCCAGGATGCCAGCAATGAGATAAACTAGCTTTTATAGCTGGTCATCAAAGCTGACTTCTTTCTCCAGAGAGATGATATATCACTGCTACCACAAAGCAGGGAAAAGGTACAAAACCTTGCAATTGTAGTTGCTTGTGGCCATGTTTACTGTGGAAGCCATTACTTTCACATCTAGGAATTAACTGAATTCAAACAGGAGACAGTGCATTTGATAGCAGTACATTGCAGACCAAGTTCACTAGCGATGAGATCCATTAGAGTGGATCATGTAATCTAGTGATTGAAATGAAGTTGGAAGCAGTTTATCTTTGACAGCATGAGCAGCTCATCCCTGTTACTGCTTTCTCTGTAAATTCAGTTATACCCAAAAATCAATAGTGTGAACTGGACAAATCATAGAATTATTAGGTTGGCATAGACCTCTGAGATCATCAAGTCCAACTGTTGACCTAATGCCCATTACAGCATGTCCCGAAGTGCCACATCTACATGGTTTTTTTGAACACCTCCAGGGATGGTGACTCCATCACTTCTCTGGGCAGCCTGTTCCAATGTTTGACGCTCTTTTGGTAAAGAAATTTTTCCTAATGTCCAACCTAAACCTCCCTTGGTGCAACTTGAGGCCATTTCCTCTTGTCCTATCACTTGTTACTTGGGAGAAGAGACTGACCCCCACCTTGCTACAACCTCCTTTCAGGTAGTTGTAGAGAGTGATAAGGTCTCCAATCCTCAGACCAGCATTTTTTCAAGTGAGCTCCAACCTCAGTTTTATCAAGATCACCTGCCCCCAGAGTGCCTGTCATATCTTTAGTACTGCAAGTGAGATCTTCTACTTAACTGAGGCTACTTTCCAGATTTGTTAAAATTCTGAAGGGGGTTAAAATGGCTGCAGTAGCTAGTGGAGTATGCTCTACACCCTGGGAAGCCATTCAACAAATAATAGAGACAACTCTGTACCCTCTTGTGTTGGCTGTCTTACTTCTGATTAAAGAAGTGGGTACAGGAGAGCTGAGGCTTGCTAAGCATGTTTCTCTGCCAGAGCTTATGCTTGCAGCAGAAATGAGCTCACTTACCATGCTCCAAGACCACAGCAGTCTGTTATAGCTGCCATTCTCTGAATATAGCTTGGACACAGTCAAGGATTAAGAACAAGATCAAAGACTGGCTGATGTTGGAATGGAGCTCTGGAGGCTCTCTGGTCCAAGCCCCCTGCTCAAGGAAGGCCATCTAGAGCCAATTGCCCAGGACTGTGTCCAGATGGCTTTTGAATATCCAAGGATGGAGACTCCAAAACCTTTCTGGGCAACCTTTGCCAGTGCTCAGTCACACACATAATAATAAAAAAAAAAAGTTTCCTGTCATTCAGACAGAGCCTCTTGTGTTCCAGTTTGTGCCCTCTGCCTCTGGTCCTGTCACTGAGCACCACTGGAAACAGCCTGGCTCCATACTTTTTGCACCCACTGCCCTTCAGGCACTTATATGCATTAATAAGATTTTCCCTGAGCCTTCTCTTCTCCAGGCTGAACACTCCCAGCTCTCTCAGCCTCCACTCATAGGGGAGATGGTCCACTATGCGGCCCTTCTATAGACTCTGTTCAGTATACCAGGTCTCTCTTGTACTGGGGAGCCCAGAACTGGACACAGGACTCTGGGTGCAACCTCACCAGTACTGGGGCGGAGGGAAGGGGAGGGAAGGATCACCACTTTCAGCCTGCTGGCAATACTTTCTCTAATGCAGACCAGGGTACCATAAGCCTTCTTTGTGGCAAGGGCACGTTGCTGACTCATGCTCAACTTGGTGTCCACCAGGACCTCGAGGTCCTTTTCTGCCAAGCTGCTTTCCAGCTGGGTGGCCCCCAGCATATACTGTGCGTGGTGCATGGGGTTGTTCCTCCCCAAGTGCAGGACTTCACACTTCTCCTGGTTGAAGTTTGTGAGGTTCCTGTCAGCCCATTTCTCCAGCCTGTCGAGGTCCCTCTCGATGGCAGCACGACCCTCTGGGATATGAGCCACTCCTCCCATTTGGTGTCATCAGCAAACTTGCTGAGGGCGCCCTCTGCCCCGTCATCCGGGTCATTAATGAAGGTGTTGAACAGGACTGGACCCAGCACTGATCCCTGGGGTACAGCGCTAGTTACTGGCCTCCAACTAGACTTTGTGCCACTGACCACCACCCTCTAGGTCTGGCTGTTCAACCAGTTTTCAGTCCACCTCAGAATATGAATTTGTGTATTTTTACAGAATGTGGAGATAAAATATGTACTTTTTTTTTTAGAATGCCTTTTTCACCCCCCCCCGAGAATAAATAGGGTGGTGGCTAAGAAGCCCTCTGAAACATGTCTGGCATGCTTATCCTGTGTCAGTTTATGTTCAGGTTAAACAGAAATGAAGCTTACAGGTTTTGCATGTCTAGTTTTGGCCGTTTAAGAAGTTACCACTTCCAGCTTTACATTTCATCTGCAGATTAATATCCTTTGGCTAGATTAACCTTCCAGGAGCCTGGCTGGTGGATCTCTCTGTGAGGGGGTTTAAACTGTCAGTTTTATTTGCAGTGAGATGGAGCGGGGCTGCCCATAGTGCCCTCAGCTGTGGAGGCAGTAACCTCTTAAAACGTTTCAGTCTACGATAAGGACAGCTGGGGTGAAAATATACCTTACAGCTATGCTGCCCCAGCGGTTTGCTGATGAAACAGACAGGGTCCTCTCATCCCTCTCCTAGCCTTGCAGGCCTCCCCCATATGATTGAGTTGGTTCTGGCACTTCTTGGAATCCATACTGCTCTGAAAAAACTTGCTAATCAGCAGAAAGATATTTGATCTGGTTGTATTTTTGCTGGATTAGTGTTCTGCTGGGTTAGCAAGCTATGTTAGCTCATTGCAGGATCTAACAGGTGCCCGAGGCAGTGCCAGGTGGTGGAGGACGACATGATGCTTTGACTGGTGACATCAGCAGGTTGTTAAACTGGCTCAGCTGTAACACATAGCTTTCCAACCTCAAACCCTTTTCATTTTCATGGTTCCTCCTGCTTTAGATTCTTTTAAACATTAATCGGCACTTTATTTTATTAACAATATTTTCTGAAAATAATGAGCTCTGATCTTAGAGGGGCATGCTGAATATTTTTATCAGCAATACTTGGTCTCTATTGAAAAAGAATTTACTGTGTGATTAAGATCTCTGACACAGTGGTAGTTATTCCTGTGTGTCACTAGGCAACTGAAATGGAAAAAGTTTGCAGGGTTTATCAGTTGTTTGTTCGGGGTTTTTTAAGCCAATGATGGTGGCTGTAAATTTGTATTTACAGTAATATGGTTGTATATTCTGGCTGAAGTAATTTATATAAAAAGAAAAAAATTAAAGATTAAAATAATTCTGGCTCTTTGGAATAGTTGTAGGTTTATTGCTGAAATAAATGTGACTACTGTGTACGCTGGTTGAATTTAAAGATATGATAGATGAAAGAATAGGTACAGAGTGATCTCATTTTAGGCTTGGCAGTATTCAAAGTCCAGATTGGTAAAATAAGTATGGAAATCCCAAGCCAAGATGATTCCACACGCTCGTTTTAATCACATGACTGCGGTGGTAACAGTCTGCTAAGGATGACTGAGTTCTGCTCCTCTAGGCAAGTACATAATCCCCAGTGTGGTCGTGGGCCAAACTCTGAAGTCTTTTCTTGATTTTTTTTCTGTTTTAACTTCTATGGGAATTCAGTAGAGAGAATTCAAGAAGAAACCAGGGTTTGTGGTCATGTGAATAGTAATACCACTTATTTTTTTAAAAAGATTAAATTAAACCTCATTAACCAGATTAGTCAGTACTCAAATTGTGGGCAAGTTGGGATTGTAAATAAGGGGCCAGAATTAGATATCTGGTATGTCTGGTGACAGAAGTGGAACATTTATGACAACAGAGAGCAGTCAACCATAGCAAATGTTGTTCTTTTAAATGCTTCTGAGAGATTTAATTGACCCTGTTCGTGCAGCCGGTGGTGGTGGGGACCACTTGCCCTTTGACCAGAAACTGTGCATTATAGAAATACTCTTCTCTATTTTTGCTGTCCTGTGTCT